AAGATATAATAAACAAGGTGATGTGGTATTCGTGAAAGAACAAAAAATCCTCTGGAACAGAACAGACATCAGAGAGCTCTCTCCAATATATTCAACTGATCTTTGACAAAGGAACAAGGCCGAACAATAAAGAAAAAGTAGTATGATTTCAACACATGGTGCTAAAATAGTGAGTATCCACGAGAAAAGTGTTGCAAAAAATTATAAACTTAAATGCAAAGTATGAAACAATGAAATTCTTCAAATATAATACCTAAGAAAATCTAGATGGCTTCGAGATTATGTGCTTAAATACAGTATCAAAGATACAATCAAAGAAAATTAATTGATAACCTGGGATGCATTAAAATTAAAACCTTTTGCTCTGTGAAAGACACTGTCAAGAGTGCGAGAAGGCCAGACATAAATTGAGAGAAAGTATTGGACATGCATTTGTCATAAAGGACTGCTATCCAAAATATGCAAAGAACTCAAAACAAATAATAAGAAATTGCACAACTTATTTAAAAATCTACCTACATAAAAGATTTCAACCGATGCAGTTACTTCACCCTGCATCTGTTTCTCAGTATCATATATCAAAAGTTTCTCAGTGCCATACATCATTGGGAAACTGTAAATTTAAACAAGAATGAGATACCACTATGCAAGTATCACAAGTTCCAAAAGCCAAAACGTAATAATCCCAATTTGTGTGAAGGATGTGGAGAAGCAGGGATTTTCATTCATCAATGGTAGAAATGTAAAATGTGTAGACTCTTTGGAAGACAATTTAGTAGCTCTGTACAAACTAAGCATTATCCCTCCCATATAATCTAGCAATCACATTTCTTATTATTTGCACAGAAAGCATTGTGTATGTGCAGAAAACTGTGCACATATATTTATAACAGCTTTATTCATAATTGCCCTAATTTGAAAAAGCTGTGCTTCCACCAGTAAATGGGTACATTAACTGTGGCATGTCCATGCAAGATAATATTGTTCAGTGTCAAGAAGACTGAGCTTCCAAGCTGTGGGAAAAAACATACTGGAATATTATCTCAAGTCCTGAATAAAATACGAAGCCATGTTCCTAAGTCAAAGAAGAAAGTCTGCAAAGCTGATATACTACATGATTCCAAGCACATGACAATTTGGAAAAGGCAAAACTAGGGAGCCACTGGGCAGGGCAGATAGCTCAGCATTCTAAGCTCCTGCTTGGCAAGTGCAAGGACCTGGTTTTGATGCCCTGCAATGAGCACTGAGCAGGCCATGGAATCTGGGTGTGGTGGCGCAAACCTGTAACCTGAGCATTGAGGAGGAGACCCTGTACCAAATAAATAATAAAATAAATTTTAAAAAGACAAAAAACCAAACCCTACAGAGACACTAAAAAAGATTACTGATAACAATGAATGGTGGTCAGGGCCAAAACATTTGGAGGAAAGTGAAATTACTTTGTTTGATACTAGAAAGGTAGATAAATTCATCATTAATTTGTAAAAACCTAACAAGTGATATATATGCCAGTGACAGTGATATCTAATGACAACTGTATTGTAGGCTATGATGACTGTTCATACTAGGTTGGTTAATGGTTAAAAAACTGGACTGCTCTGGGGAAGACTGTTAATAGTCAAAGGAGCTGTGCATGTGGGCGGAGGCAAGGGCACCGGGAACCCTGTGATGTTGCAAACCTACAACATTTCTAAAAAAATAGTCTATAAAAAAGTCATAGGTTGGGCTGGCAAGATAGCTCAGTAGAATAAGAGCTTGCCTGGCAAGCGCAAGGGCCTGAGTTCAATCCCCGGTTCCACCAAAAAAAAAAAAAAAAAAAAAAAAAAAAGAAGTCATAGGTCGTGGAAAACTCCACTACAAATCTGCAAGTGCCTCTTCAATTTCTTGCCAACTAAATTTGAGGGCAAAGCCTGCCAATAAAATATAAATTTGAATTCACTTAAATAATAAAATAGCCTTTTAAAAACTGTCACAACTTTTATTATTTATCTGCACAATAATTGCAGAATTGTACTGAATAAAAATAAAATTTTTGTTATGGAATTTATAGCCCAATTGTAGAATGGAAATTTAGGATGAACTTTGCTTAGGATCATCACAATGTGTGTAAGAACAGAGAAAGAGATTCAGAAACAGTCATTGTGCAGAGGAGACTTCTTAATCAATATTCATAATTCTTATTACCAATTACATATTGAGGCTAACCACATGGTCCTCACTTTGTTCTAAGTGTTGACCTATATTTTTTAAATTGGAAAACTCTGTGAATATATATTCTAAAAGATCTAATGACACTAAACATATGGCCTTATTTATACTCACAAAAGTAAATTATTTCAATATGGGGATTTGAGTCCGTTGAGTCTAATAGAACCAGTAACACTAACTCAGAATTGTTCCCCTCATAAAGAAAATCTTTATCCTATCAGCCATGAATAACAGCATTATTCAAATTCAGAGTTCACTTTTTCTTCTCTGGACATTTAGATTTATTATATCCATTCTCTGAGTTTAGTTTTCCTGTTGGTTTTGTTTTGGTCTGTTTGGTACAGGTAAAATATTTCCCTTACTTTGATTTCAAATTAAATAGAAGAATTAAACTTCCTCTCTATTTGAAGATTTTCTTGTGGCTTTGCCAGGAGAGATGACACCTCGCTCTTGCGGAGCTATTGCGTGTTAAGATCATACCGACAGTTATGACTCACTCTCACCTGTCACACTTCCTGTTGCCAAATACTGAATGGCTTCAGAGTGCCCTGAACACTAGCTTTTCATTCCTACCTGAAGTTCAGGGTGACTTTCTCCTTGCAGGGTTCTATCCCCTCCGTCTGGCTTACTCCATAGTTTTGAAAGCCTCAGTTTTATATTCTCCCCACCAGAAATCTTACTCGCTTTTATTGATAGCCTTAAAACACCACTAGGCATCAACCCAGAATCCTACCCAATCCTACCCAATCCTACCAGTTATATAGTTCAAATGGAACTTCTAATTCATGTTGCCATATTGAAATCTCTTTATTTTGAAAGCTGTCTCTCTTAGTGAGTGAGATTTTTGTCTGGTGATTACAGATACAATGGATATTGATATATACTTGGACACATCATTGTGCCTATACATTACCTGGTCCGTATCAGTTGCTCTAGGAATAATTGGATAAATTTAATTAAGTGATGCACATCTCTCCATACCGAGAAAGAGTTGTGTTTTACTTAAAATAAAAAAATATGTATTTACTGTTCCATGACCAAAATTTAATCCTAGAGAATTCAACATTTTTTATCATGATTCACCCACCCTCTAATTTCCAGCCCTCCAACTTAAGAAGCTATTTTATTCTTGCAGTTACTGCTAATTGGAGAGTCACTGTAACAGAAACGCATTAATGCAAGCAGGATTTGCTCAGACATCAATAAACTCTGAAAGGCTCCCTGAGGGCCAGTTGTAGTGTCAATAAAGACTCATAATGACTTGCTCCTTGGAGCATTTGGATCCAGCCCCTTATCTTGCTCTGCTGCAAAGACAAAACTCTGAGAACTCAGAGGATCTTAGCTTCCTGTGCCCTAGATGAAGAATGGCCAGCCCTCCTACATTTGAGGAGTACACGGTGCTCAGTTGGAACCCAAGGCTCCCCTCCTGCATGCTAGGCCATCACTGTACCCTGATTCCGTTGAGCTACCACCCCTCACTCTGTGGTCTCTGATTCTTAAACAAGGGCACAATCTGTTCTTATTTTAAGCTGTCTGTGAAGAATTATAGAGTTTCTTCTCTGGGCTCCTGAGGACCTGGGATGATATGCCTCACCATTTTGGGCCAGGAAATCTGTTAGTTCCAACAGGCAACAATGGCTGACTCCCTTCAGCTTGAAAGGATGTGGAATTTGAGATCTTGGGACCTGAACAACCCACAGGACAGGAGGAATCCTGCCTTTGGTACCTGCAGAGCCCCAACTTCATGGCGAGGTGTTCTTTGACCTAAGTGGTGAAGCCGGGAAACTCAGTGGCTAGGTGTTGGCCCTGAAAATTTGGACACAGAACCGGAAAAGTGCCTCAGCCATGCCATACAGTATGGTAGGAGGGGGCAGAGAGAAAGAAAGAAGAGGCTAAGGTGAACCATCAGTGTAACTTTCCGAGAAAAAAACTGCCCTTCCTTCTTGCCTTCCTGGCTTCTTTCCGGGCTGGATTAACACGCTGGTGGGTTTGCTTGGATTTAAGAGCGGTCTGCGGTAGGTACGTAGGTATTGATGTTTCCCCCTTCAGAATCCTGTTTCTCCTGAGTGAAGTTTATTTTAAATGCTATTAAAGTTTCCTTGACTTCTTCGTGAGGAGTTTCCAAATGACAATGAGTCACTTAAATATCCCTAAAGTTCTTAAGGACAACTCTGTCATCACTTGTTCCCTGCAGGATCTTGAGCAGGGGTCGTCATCTACCGTTCACTGTGAATAAGCGATCTGCTAATTGGCTCGTGCATGCATCTGTACTTTCGCAATTGAGCTAAGCAGGGAATATTAAGGTTTCCCGGCCCTCCCCCTTCCCCGCTCCGTTTCACTCTCCCTGGAGGGCGTGTATTCGCCAGTGCGCCTTTGGATGTTTAGCGAAAGACACTCGGAGAAAGCTGTCCCTCTTGTAAGCCCCAGCTCCATCTAAAGCAGCATTCCTCCCACAGGACGCGTCTGCGATGTTTTCCCAGCCTACGTGTATGCTCCAAACCGATGCCCACAGACTATCTTGGCACTCCCGGGTGCACAGAGCGGGTTCTTTGGTGTCCTAGGAGATGGTGTGTGTGTGTGTGTGTGTGTGTGTGTGTGTGTGTGTGTGTGTGCGTGAACGCGCGCGCACCCGACCGCGAGCTTCCTCCCTGGCCCAGTGCACACTGAGCCGGCGACGTTACTCTGCGAGCAGCCGCGAGCAACGCGAGGCAACAGCAGCCTCCGCCTCCTCCACCCGGTGATTGGCTGGCTTTGCTCATCATTTCCCTGCTTGCAAGAGGGAAGGGCCAGCTACGCCCCCGAACCCAGCTGCAGAAGCGGCCGCCACCTCCGAAGCACAAGGTGTCACCTCGCAAAAGGATCCTGAGCCTGGGGAAGGCTGCGCGTGCGACCCGGCAGGGCTGGCGCGAACTGCACGCCGGGCGCTGGGCAGCGCAGGAGCCCCGGGACCGTGGCCTCCGCGGCGGACCCCAGGGACCCGATCCGGGGATCCCGGCTCCACACTCTCCTCGCATTTTTCAGATCCACTTCCCTCCCCGACTCTTGCCCCAAAACGGAGCCTTTATATCCGGAGAAGGTGCGGGAGGCGGAGCACCCCGGACTTTCCTGGGCACCCAAGATGCGCTCTATTAGGAAGAGGTGGACTATCTGCACTATAAGTCTGCTCCTGATCTTTTATAAGACAAAAGAAATAGCAAGAACTGAGGAGCACCAGGGGACGCAACTCATCGGGTAAATGAAAGCTCCATTTCGGGTTAGGACCAGAAGTCAAGCCGTAGATGCAATGTGTGTATCGCGTTGAGCTATGGTTGGGATACTATGTGTGCGCGCTGAAGCTCAGCTCTCGGTAGCGATTCTTGTGAATTAAGTAACAAAGGCTGTTGTTGAGGTGTGAGTATGTGTGTGTACGTGTGCCCGTGTGTTTCTCCACGCGAGTTCAACTTGCCCAGTCCAGGGTGCAGGGGTGGTGGTGACAGTTGTCTTGTATTGACACCGGGTACCTCACCCCGGAGAAGTCATTGCACAAGTGTCAACAAAGAACGTTTGCCCTTGTCCTTTAAATACGTGGGCAGAACTCAGTCTCTGTTCACCAAACGGTGTTCTTCCTTTTTTTCTGTGTCCTGCAATGATGGGAAGAAAGGAGGGAAGCTGGTTTCCTGAAAGATTAAAGTTAAATCCCACACAGAAGGAAATTGGTGACCTCTGTTTCTCTACTTTTTTGGTTGTTTGCTTCTGTCTGGCCTTGGGTAGATCTGTTTATTTTCATTTGAATTAGACGTACTAGTACCACCACCAAGGATAATTCTTTATTTGCTGGTCCAGGGATAAATTTAGTTTATCCTAGTTTTAGAAAGAAGCTGGACTACTGTATCTTCACCAACTGTACTGTTGCTATTTCTTTAGTTTGTCTAGATGAGTTCAGAATCTCCCCCGCCCTAGTGTGTTCTCTAAATACCGCACTTCCTTCCTCCCTCCCCTCAGCCGCCCAGCCTTTGAAGTTTGCTCAGGGGGTGCTGCAACTTTGGTGCCTGACAGACCTTGGAAGCTTTTTCCGAGGATGTGAACGGGGTTGTCAACTCTGTTCAAAGTCCTGTTTCGGAAATCCTCCCTGCTTGGGAGACGTCCGCTGGCGGAAACGCCAACAGAGGTGCCCTTCTGGGTTTTATTTTCTCTGACACTGATTAAAACGAAGGGACTTTGCCATTGTGTGTGTGTGTGTGTGTGTGTGCGTGCGTGCGTGTGTGTGTGTGTGTGTGTGTGTGTGTGTGTGTTGGAACTGCTAAAATATCCGTTCTTAAACTTCATGGAGTCCGTTTCTTAATATTCCTGCTCCTCCCTAAGTAATGAGCTCTTAAGTGAGCAAAAGGGCAGGTTCGTCTTCACAGAGGGAACTGCTGCTCTGGAGAAAGCCAGGGTAACCGCGGTACAGCCAGGAGGGAACGGCAGAGAATGAAAAGCAAACAAGGAACGGACTGAATGGTCGTCATGCATCAACAAATCTGTTTCAGGGTCTATTCTTGAAAAGAAGAAAAGCATAAAAGAACGCCATGAGGTCGTTTACACAGAAGTGGGCGGGTTGAGAATCGGTCCTGTGAATTGTCCGAGGCGGACTGGGGCGGGGGTGTAAGCAGCGCCCGCAGACCTGCGCGGGTCAGGCAGACAAAGGGGTGCTCGGGAGGCGCCAGCCCGCGCGGGCTCGGGTGGGACGAGGACGGGCGTGAGGGTCGAGGCTCTTTGTTCCCCGCGCGCCGTGGTCTCGGGGAAAGCCTGCGCCCAGACAAAGCGCCAGAGCCGGGCCGGGACGCTCCGGGTCTGAGGCGGGTGGGCGGGGTGGGGCTGACGCAGCCCAAGCGCCCTAGCTGGCCGATGCCCGCCGGCCCCATCCCGGGTAGCAGCAGCCGCGGGTCCTCGGGACCTTTCCTGGGTAGGCTCGGCCCACGCGCCCGGGAGGAAGGGGCGGCGCGGCAGCAGCCGGTGGGGCTGGGCGTCCTCTGGAACCCTTGGCGAGCTGAGCCCCCGCGGTTGCCCCAGTAGGGAGCGTGCGAGTTAACCCCACCCGCAGAGAGGTGCTCCGGGCCTGCCCCTCCTCCCACAGGGCTGTGGGCGGCGAGGCCGATGGAGCAAGACTGTGCAGGGATCGGCCCCCTTCCTTTAAAACAAACAAATCGCTCTCCCTGCTCTCCCCCCAACGCAGCGCCTCTTCCTTGATTAAAACCCGCGGTAGCGCTGCTGCGGGCCCAGGCCAGCCGGCGGCGGGCATCCCGGTCACGCACGTGTCCCTGGCGTCCCGGCTGTGGCGCGGACCTCAGGGCTGGCGCTGTTTGCGGAGAGGTGGAGGAGGACAGTGCCAGTCCTGAGCACACGTCCTCTTCTCTTCCGCGATGAGATGTTCAGTGGAAAAGCTTGGGATCCCAACGCCTGATTTTACCTCCCCAGTAGTGGAGGAGTTGAGTGATCAAACTAATCATCCTATTGACTCGCTTTCCACCCCAGCCACGTGGAGAGGCCGATTTAAAATGACTTGAATTAGAGGGGAGGTTTGGTCCAGGCATTTACAAGGGAAGTAACAGAGGCAGTCTCTGGCCTTTGGGGGGCACTGCGCTCCTTGTGGGTGGCCTGGAGTTTCTGCGCCAGGCCTCGCATAGACCTTTAGTCTTACAATATTCCTCTAAATTCCTATTTAGTTTTCCTGCCTGCGTATTTGTTTATCAATAGGCATGCGCTCTTTTTGTCTTTTCAACACCTCTTATACTTTGAAGCTTCAGGTGTAGGCTAGAGTGAAAGTAGCAGTACTCTTCTTGCACACCCTTGTGGTACACAGAGGAGAAGGAAGAGCAGCCCAGCTTTTCCACTGCAGGCCGCCTTCTCATACTTCCAGTGGAACGCAAGCAGCACGTTTAAAAGGAAACAGGGATTATTCCAGTTGGTCAAGTAATGATGGAACACCTAAAAATGCTATTTTCTTCCACATTTCTTAATCGGTTCTTATGATTACTCAGTTAATGAAATTTAACCCAAAAGGCATTGCTAATATTCAGGGATTTGTTCTTGACTTTGTTTGTTTGTTTTCTTAATGGGCCTCACAGTGGGGCTGTAATTAATTGGCTCTCCCTGCACTTTGAAGAATTTTTGGTAAAGATTTTCAAGACTTGGGTAGAGCCAGGCATGGTATCCCAGGACTCTGAAGGCTGAGGCGATATCAAGGCAAGTTTGAGGCCAACTGGAATACAGGACAAAGCCTGTCTCTAAAAAACAAAAGCAAAACAAGGCAAAAAACCTTCCACAGAAAAAATATGTAGGTATGCACATTTAGCGAAATACAATATTTGAAAATACAAAAACTTTGCTGTCACAGATAGTTCTGATCATTACTTTTCTTGGACTTGCTACACATTATTTCCTGGTTGATGAAAAATGAGACTGAGACTTACTCTTCTTATCATCTAGAGACATCCATGGAAGGTAAAAGATGGCTTCCTTTGCCTTAGGTTGCTAACTGATGTGCAGTATGAGTTCTGAAATCGATGGTAAGATTGGAAGTGGTGTGGAGCCCTCATGTCCCATTTAGGCTGTTTCTAACACCAGCCTAGTTTCAGGTTGCTCAGGGCTGAGCACACTTTTGGAAGTCAAGATTTCCAGAACTGGCACTTTACTTCGCTTATTATATTTTCAATTCTACAGAAAGCTATGAGCGATAAGTTAAGGTAGAACATCTCATCTTTATTTTGAGTAGTTTGAGACATGGGAATAAAAACACAAAATTGCCTTCTGTTTGTTTTCAAGCAATTCTTTTCTTTTAAATCACTTTCAAGTTTTTAAATTAAGGAGGAAGTTTCACTTAGTCCAAAGGGAACATATTCATTCCAAAGCTGAGGCTGGAAGAGTAAACGTGGAGTTGAATGCAGAGCTTTGGGGACCCTTTTCCAGAACTGAAATCAATCATATTTGTTATGTACTGCAGAGCTAACAGGATAAATTGTGCGAAGCCAGGAAGCTCACATGAAACATAAAAGCACTGTTCATACCACACAAGAATCCTAAGCACTAATTCTGCTCACTGGTTTGTCATAGATGACCTTATGCCTGCGTTTTCCATGGTTGTGTAGACACAAGATTACTCTGCTATATTTGCCTTATGTTGACTGGCTTCTTTGATGAGTTTTGTGATTTTTCCTTTAAAAGTACACATTAAATATTTTCATGCTTATCTTGATGCAAAAAAAAAAAATGTTTTCAGTGCAGCTGTTCAAAAGTCACATCCCAGCTGTAATGAGCAAAAGCAGGGGTGGCAACATCCTTCATGCCTTGCATTCATGGGAAGCAACTTTTTCCTAAGACAGAAATGGTACAAAGGTCACATGTGGAAAAGCCCTTGAGACATATTTAACTTTATACAAATTCTCCAGAATGCCCTAAACTTGGGGTTCTTACTCATGAGTTCCATTGGCTCTAAAGGAGGAATGTGACTACTTGTAGGTACTTCCATTCAGAGTTCTTTCCAGTGATAAAAGCCATGTATTTGTCTAATCATGACTTCAATAAAACATAATCATACAAGAGTAACATCTTAGCACTGTATTCATATAAAATGGTTATAATGTTTAAAAATCGCTTTTGGGCAATGTACAAAGATTCCAATGCAACCTACTAGGTCACAGCAGTCACCGAGCAGGTAAAAATATACCCAGAGGTCAGTGAAACAATCTTCTACAGATTAAAGGAAAGATATACCTGTGTATACATTTTTATCTTTATGAGGATTTATTTGTGATATATAATAACAGTAATTTATGGAAGAAAATGGTGTTATTGACTGACTAGTTATTAATGGTGAAAAGTAGAAAAATAATGGTGCCTGCTGGTTCTGTTGTTGTTTTGCTTTTTAGTGCCCCCCCCAGGGTTTTGCAATGTAGTCCACTGCCTTTGAACTCACTTTTAATCACCATGTAATCCAGGTTGGGTTTGCACTCAAGACGGTACTCTTGCTCAACTTTCCAGGAGCTGGAGTTGAAGTCTGACCAGAGAATCCAGCTTTGTCTGGACTCTTAAAGGTACACAATATACAGTGTCAGAGTTGACTTTTATGTTTATCCATATTTTAGTTAACAAGTAAATATTATCATTAATGTGTGATATGAATACTGACTTATGGCCACTGAACAGGAAAAAATGCCCTATACTTTCTTCTATCCTAATTACCTCTATAAAATTATTATTATTATTAGCTGCACACAGTCATGCAAATACATCATTTTCACCAGTAAGATTGTTTAAAGCATTACTTTTATGGAGTTCTAAATTTTACAAGGCATGGTTTCATATGATGCTTTGAGCTGCTTCAGATTTAAGCTACATGTTTAAAAAAGAATGCAAACCAAAATACCAAAGTATAAGGCTTCAATTACAGAATTCATTCAACAGCTGCTACACAAGAGAAGGTTCCATTGATAGTAGGCGAGAAAAGCCTACATAAAGAGCACAGATTTAGAATTTGTGATTGAACAAGTAGTCATGTTACTTTTTTACTATGCTTTTGAGATTCAAAAATTAAGTGGTGATATGTAAAGAAATAAATGCATATGCTGAGAGGCCTATGTTTTTTGTTTCTGTACTATAAAAGTACTGTACTTTTTCACTCTGAATCTGAATCAGATTCATCTGCAAGGAAACAAGAAAATAGTCCTTTGAGTAATGCATTGTGGAGCTTTCTGGAATAAATGACATCATAGATGTCCCTCAAAATGATCAGTCCTTCCACCCTGCAGTAGTACCAATGACACATGGTCTGCTAGCCTCCTGCTGTTGGCTGAAAGAGGGTGGGATTTCAAGGTTACGGCAAAGCCACTGTGGTCCAGAAAGACATTGTCTAAAAGCACAAGGCTTCCTACTTGCACGCACAGCCGCTCTGAAGCCTTACTCTGAAACAAAAGCTCTTGACATCGTTTTTAAATGTCTTCTTTGAAAGCAAAATTAACCTTTGAGATCACAATTACAGACACGTTGAATACTTTACCAAACATCCTGTCTATTGTGTAAGAAAGTCAGTTGGGGGAGCAGTAGGAAACAGCTTTGATGAGACTTCTGTTAGTTTTCTTTAATTCCAAAGAGGTCTTTGTTTTTCTTTTATGTGAAAACAATTCAGGTTAAAAATGAATGCAGTGGGTCCAGGGAGATGGCTCAGTGGAATAAGTGCTTCCCTGGCAAGCAGAAGGGCCTGAGTTCAATCCCCGGTTCCACAAAAAAAAAATGAATGCAGGGGCCAGAGAGATAGCTCAGCAGTCTAAGCGCCTGTTTGGCAAGCACAAGGACCCAGGATAGCGCATGCTGTGCCGACCCTGTCCTGGCTCTCCCAACCTGGCCCCCTGAACCAGAGGTGGTGGTGCTCACCTGTTGTCCCAGCTCTGGAGAGGCTGAGACAGGAGGATCACTACAAGTCTGAGTTATGTAGCAAGACCCTGTCTTATGAAATGCATAAAATTAAAGATAAAGAAATAAATAAATAAATTTATGTAGGGTTTTGCAACAAAGCCACATGCACTTAATTCTTACAACACCTTTCATTATTCTTGTACTTTTCCAACCTGTGGAAATTTATTCATCCATGATATAAATCATATTATATATTGTATAATGAAAATGCTCCTTCTTTTCACAAAGCTGGCATTTTTATTTTGTTCCAGAGATGGTGAATTGTGTTTGAGCCGATCACTTGTCAATAGTTCTGATAAAATTATTCGAAAGGCGGGCTCGTCAATCTTCCAGCACTCTGTAGAAGGATGGAAGATCAATTCCTCTTTGGTCTTGGAGATAAGGTGAGTTTCTTTATTAAGACATAATAAATTTCACATCATGTTCTCAAATATGTTGGGCTTGAAAACTTATATTGAATGTCTGATTTATAGGTTAAGTGTGAATATTTTAGTGAAAGAGCAAACCAGCTCCGTTACGTGCTGCTCACCAAACAATGTGAAACCATATAAATGAAATGATTACATAGTACAGAATATAATGAACAATGCATAGATTTGAGTAAGCAGTTTTTGAGCTGAGCAGCTGGTTCAGAGGTCTAAATGCCTGCCTGGCAAGCTCAAAGACCCAAGTTTGATCCCTGGTACCATATGCTGTGCTGGCCCTGAGACCCATGTGCACCGTGCAGGCCACTGAAACTGGGCGTGGTGGTGCACACCTGTAATCCTCGCACTAGGAAGGCTGGGACAGGAGGATCACCTTGAGTCTGAGCTGTGTAGTGAGACGCTGTATCAAATAAATAAATGATTAAAAAATGAATGTATGGTATTTATGCTAATAAAATATTCAACAAAATACTAATATTTATATAACTTTACACTAGTATTTATAATGGAAATATTTTTAGAATTAGACTTGAATTCTTCCTTGATGCTTTATTCAGATCTTATGTTGTTTCACTTAAAAACTACCCAATACATATTTTTGTGGTGATTATGAATACATTTCATTTATCCTGTGTGGTTACATCAGTTCATGTGAAAAATGGGTAAAAGTGAGGAAATAATCTTGCTAGAATACTAGTTTAATTATTAGACAAGGCATTTAGGCAGAAAGAAATCCTTGAAATAACACTTAGTATTACTAAGTATGAGAAGGAGCGTTTTAAATGAGAAGAAATGAGCGGGTGAATTTTTGTCTACAGTGGCATTACATAGTTGCGTTGGTTGACGTGCTTTTATAATATTATTTTGGTAAAACAACTGTAAAATTTCAAGAGTCTTTTTCATTTTAAGAAGATTGAAAAATAGATAAAGCATTAGAAGCAGTACAGAATTTCAAGAAAACAAGGTGGTAGGAATTCACCAATGGTTGTTATTTACATATTGTTGCCTTCGACTTTTTTTTTTTTTTTTTTAGCAGAACCGGGGATTGAACTCAGGCCCTTGTGCTTACCAGGCAAGCACTTACCCTCCTGAGCTATCTTCCTGGCCCTAGCTATCTCTCTGGCCCTGCCTTTGTCTTTTATCTAATGAAATCACTACATTTTTCTGATATGGAGAAGTGAAAATTATTCAATGGCTGATATTGACAAATATTTTGTAAGAGTATCTCACTGATTGAAAGCTTGATTAAACCCAGGCTGATCAGCTTGCCTGGGTTTCTGTATACCTACTGCTTCCATCATGCCCACACACAGTTGTAAGCAACCCAGAAGAAGAAAGCCTGACACTGACTCTTAGAGTACGCACAACAATTCGTTCTGGCAAAGGCACTTAGGGAAAGATGAAATTATTTGAAATTAAAGAGGTGGACGTCAAAGAAAGACAGGCACAGTTAGACCACTTCCTATTAAACTTCTGGAAGAGATAGGAATTGGAAACAGAAATCGTATCAGTTTGATATATTGAGTGCTTATCATTTAAGGAAAAGCTTTTCATATTTGTGGGCCTAAGACAAGAATGAGGAGATCTGTAGAGTCTGATGACCTATAATTTGGTTTCTTCTGGATAGAATATGGGTTGAAAAGCATACTCCATTTAAACTGAATGAAACAAATATTTTAAATATTGACATTTTAAAAAATCAAGAAATTTTCTAGAAGTATGGGTTTTCAAATGTCTCCAGGAATGTAAAGATGACAATTTGGACCTGCGTTCTCCCTGATAGGTAGTGGGCAGAAGCCAGGAGGAGTGTTGTCTCTCTCTCCAGGCTGAGTTACACACCAGGGACTGTGTGCTCCCCCCATACCTGTGTTTTCCTCTCTCAGCCCACAATGAAGTTTAGAAACCCTATAAGAAATGAGATCATCATAAGGAATGATGTCCTGTGGCATCCTACATCCAAATGTGATTTAGTTTAAGGATTCATATTGGGGGTAGATTAGAAAGTTAGAAATATGGATGATCCAAAAGAAAACTTGGATTTGCAGCATGTCTGCACAGAGGACCTCAAATTGGCTGGCTTAGCAAAAGAGAGCATCTAATTTAGGTGACATGGATCAAAGATAGTAATGGAAGAAGATAAAGTAAAATAAGAAACTGTGATACTTGAATGAGTATATGTAGCCATGTTAAAAAGTATATCTGATAAACCAAACTCTACCATGTAAATTCTCAGTAGCAGATACTAGTTTAATTGTTACATCCATCTAATGTATGTAATCCTTCCAATGTCTGTATAAATATTAATACTGTAGCTGTTCTTTTTTTTTTTTTTTTTTTTTTTGGTGGAACCGGGGATTGAACTCAGATCCCTGTGTTTGCCAATCAAGCACTTATCCTACTGAGCCATCTCCCCGACCCCTGTAGCTGTTCTTCTGACTGTAGGTGTACATATTTAGTCTTATTGTAATGGTTCACTTTTTATCATTGTAAACTAAGAGATGTCATGTTTTTATTGTGCTAGATGTTGTGCTACATCAATCTGTGAACATTGTACTGAGAGATTATTTGACCATGTCTAACATTTGCAACTTGACTTTTTTTTACCTATTTGGATTATTTTTTAATTTTCATATACTAATTAAAAAATCACAAACATAGATGTTTTGTGTAAGCTTAGCTTCTCATCAGAACAGCTTAATCACATAATTAAAAAATATTTTCACCACTTTATATATATCAAAATTCCTAAGCAGTTAAGATTTTTGCCAGTTAACTGAACATAAATGCCAATTTATCTATGCTTACTTCTCAGAAAGAACGTGCCACTACATGCATAGACTTTCTTTAGGGTAAAGGTCTATATACAATATTTACATCACCTCTTCTTGTTATAAAGTGACCAATTTTGGGAGAGAAGGCTTGTTAGATAAAAGCCCAGTTCTATTTGACTGTTCAGCCAGTGTGTCATTAGCAAGTACATTTCTTGTAATATTATATTTTAATACAAATAAAGTGAAACATTTAAATGCATGATTATGTAATGTATAGTATGTTTTCTGCTCTAGAATAACCAATATTATTCAGCAAATATTACCAAATTTGGGCTATGCCTCAGATGGCAAACTGTGGCATACAGAACAATACAATTTTTTAAGTATTTTGGATAATTTTATCTTTTGATTTGACTATGAATATTTAGGGCTTTTCTTTTTATATTAAAATGTTACCAACTATAACATCTTCAGAAATTCTAATCAATCAACAAAGCTTCTTTTTTTAGAGACTTTAGGATAAAAATTGGCATATTCTTTCTCTTTACAGAATGCTTAAGAAAACAAGAACATTTTTTTTCTTTGTGTCATTACCAAAGGGATTGATTCAGTGATTTGGGGGAGGGGTGGTCTGGAGTCTCTATGTAGAGGTTTCAAAATTTGATGACAATATATAAATTATGACCTAATTTGCTTTTCAACTTGTGATACATTGTGCCACATTAATTTCTGATTAATTTGGTGCTGTTCAGCTTAAATTTTAGTTGCTACAGCACATGTGTTTGTTATTGACAGGAAAACTACAGAGAAGAAAGAGTGGCATCTGGTGATAGGTTAGTTACAAGTGAAAAAACAATGTTTAGTAAACTAGGCTTGTGGCCCACTGCAGCTGCTATTTCAAGCCACGAGTTTTGTTGAAAGGGAAGTTGTAGTTGAAAATTCAGTTGAAAAGTTTCATGTAGAATCTATTCCTGTCAGCCTAACAGACTAAACCAACGGTCCAGTTTAAGCCAGCATGGCTTAACAGAAAAGAATTTGTATGACTAATATTCTTAGTGTCACTGAAAACAAGACATTTTCAGAATCTTTTCAGTTATCTTTAACATTCAACAGAGGTTTCAGAAGTTGCAGTGACAGACCTCTGAGAGACCTTCTTGTTCTTCCAAGTCATGCACAGAAACACAGCTCCCTGCTTTGAGTATTGGGTTGTAACTTGATTACAGATTACCAAAAGTTAGAAGGGTACCTGTCGTACATTGATAGTAGCTGTTGTTTATTCAGCTTTCTTTAGAGGTCAGATAATAAATTGAGTTTTTCACTCAATTTTCCATGCTCTTATTTCTGAAATAGTTTTGTTTACCCTGCTGATAAACAGTGTTAAATTTTTGTCAGTCACGTTCTGAGCAACAGCATGAGTGCTCTTTTTTTGGTGATGCTTAATGTACTGCTTACGTGCCCTCAATGGCATTTAGCTTGTTATATATAAGTTAAAATTCTACTCTTACTTTCCCTAACATATTTATAATCTCAGCACCAACTATATTTAGCAAATACACAGAGAATTTTATGGTTCATGGTATCTATTATCTAAAAGATATCTTCAGCCTGCTTGATAGAGAGAAATCCTAACCTTTCCTTACTGTTTTCAAAGAGTATTAAGCACTTACATCACAATATTACTCACTGGTAATTATTTTCTATCTTTCATCCACTTAGAGCCAGCAAATTTATCTCAGAACATTTTCCATACCTATATTTAACCCCTAAAATAGAAACTAAAATTTCTCTTCAGTGTAAGAACAATAATGTCCTGGAGCCGGTCAAGTTCTCTTTTTTTCCCTTAAAAAAGTAATAGTACATCTAACAACTGTTTTGAATTTTGACTGAAAAACTTTTACTCTTCAATTAGTATGAGTTAGCATTTTTATTTCTTTAAAAATTGTTTTTACTATTACTTTAAAAAAACACTAAACCTTTAACACACTGCTGGAAGAACACAGAAGAAGTTCTCTCTGAAATTTAATAATTTTTTGTCTCTTTAAGCAGTATTTTCTTCTAGGGGTCCCAAAAGAGTACCTGTAAACTTTCCTCAGGTCACATAGGCCCCTTTGTATAGAACTTTTCCAAAATATGAATAAAATAGAGATGTTCAGTTATACTCAGAAATTTAGAACGTCTTTCTGGTGTTTGGGCTGTTTTCTATTGCACGGAAAAGGCACAGGAGTTGGAAAGTTCTTGCTTTAGTTAGTAGAATGTCACGCAAGTGCTGACTTCGTTGACGGGTTTAGTGGCTTTTCCTTTTCAGTTACCAGGCTACCTGTTTTCTTCCATATCTAGACTTCTAATCTATTCAGCTCAGACTTGCAAACATGCCACCCCCCGTGAATGCATGTCTCGAAGATCAACGGCAGCACCTGCTCAAAGTGCACTCAAAGGAAAATGACGAGACTGTGTAGTTGGAGGGTAGCCACAGCCGTGCAGTGCGTGCCTCAGAGCCAGCCTTGTCGTTCGCACAGGAAATGAGAAGTTTTGGTTGAAATCTAGATGTCAAAATATTAACTTGCCACAGACAAATAAATGACAGCTGATAAATAGCTGCAAAAATTTCTGTGTTTTGCCAGTTTGGGTGCTAATCATTAACTTTTGTAAAGAATCACAAAAGTGGCATAGTGTGACATCATGAAAGACTTCTCTACTGCTTCAATTCATAAGCTCATCTTGAGGATTGCAACTGTAGTTTTCTTCTCATGTAATCTCTATATTGCTAAAATAAACTATCATAGTGCATGATAGCATTTCTGATAATTTTTCTTCTTTTTTTTTGTAGAGTGTTTGTACAGAATCTCCTTTACAAATTATGTTTAAATGCATATTTTTTTCCAAAGAGCTAATAGGTAATCTCTTCTCTGTACAGAATTTTCAATCATTTGGTTTTCAAAATTAGATCACACATTAATCTAGAATTGGTTTAGTCAAAGTCAAAGAAAATGAGAAGGATATTAGCTTGTTAACTTACAGATTTCGTTGCCAATCATCTTTCTAGGTTATGAGTGTAAGTTGGAGAATTCTTTTGATAGTCATAAAAGGAGGATGATTCTTTTTAGTTTTAAAAATTTACCACTTATGGTGAAGCTTAGTTAACAATATCCATAGGGCAGGCCAAATAGCTCCGCAGATTAAAGCACTTGCAAGCAGGCGCAGGGGCTGGTGTTCAATCCCCGGTCCTGCTGTGCCGCTGGGGTGTGCTGAGATGGCAATTGAGACTGGGTATAGTAGCACGTGCCTGTAATCCCACCTCTTAGGATGCTGTGAACAGGCGGATCAGTACGAGCCTGATCTAGTAGTGAGACTCTGAACACCTTGTAGACCCTTCCCTAAAAAACAAAATAAAAAAGAAGGAAAATATGTGAGATCATAAATTTTATAATAATGACATTGTTTTTGTCACTTCAGAAATATGGGCATACACACATGCCATGCTGTCTTGGCACTCTGCAAGACTGAGACCTTGTATTGAAATAAACAGTTTTAACAAAAGGCTGAAGATATTATTCAGCACAAGGGCCTTGGGTTTAATTTTCACTAACACAACATTAGTTGCAATGAAAACACAATGGGAATAATATTCATTCTCAACATTGGTGTCAACTGTTCTCTTTACCTGTTTGGTGAGCTATGGATGAAATTGTTGCAAATTTTTACAGGCCACGTCCATTACTGTATGACAGTAGAACTTTCTCAAGACCTTACCAGGATTCTGAGCTATTATTTTGTAGTTGGGTTCAGATATAAATAAATAATAATAGCACATTTGGGCTTTGCTCCCCCAATTATTCAGTTATCATTTACTTCCATAAACTCAACAGCTACCCTTTTGCCATTTCAATCTCTAGACTCATGTTAAAAGTCAGTATCTCTCTTCATGCTAAACCTATTCTGATTTACAGTTATAATCTATTGTTAATTGGGTAAAAGAAAAACAGTTAAGAGGTTCAAATTACTAAACTTCAGTTTAGATTACAAAACATTGCTGCAGATGTATTTCCTTTCAGCTTAGTCTGCAGCTTGATTATGTTGTGCCTGATTTCACCTCTTTCAGGCCCTGTGAAGAGGAAAAACCAACAGGTGCCAACATAGGAGCACTTTCTAACACACATCCAGTGGCAGCCGATTTACTAGGTAGAAGACACCACTTCCTCATCATGGCAGACTGAAGCTTTATCAAGTGTATTTGCCACGTTTGTCAGGGTGCATCAGTTTCTCACCCTGCTATTTTCTCATTTTTCACAATTCAGTTATTTAGTATATGCATGTTTTTTATGTCTTATGGCATCTCAAATTTTTGATCAACTTACAGATTAGGTATTTGATAGAATGAATTTCTGTGAAAAAAAATAAATCTAAGAGGTGGTAACCAAACAAATTGCAAGTGGTTTTACTTCTGTGTCATACAGCCATACACACGAGCTACTTGATCCCACTTAAGAAAGCTATTGCCTATGACCAAGTCTGGCTGTATTTAAATTTTTTAAAAAATGAAAGTGTTCCAACTGAGCATTAATTTCTCATATAAAGCCCTTGAAGAGGGTTGGCCAAATAGCTCGGCGGATTAAAGTGCCTGCAAGCAGGCACAGGGGCCTGAGGATTGGATCCCAGGCCTACCTTGCTGGCTCCACCCCCGGTGTGCACTGAGACAGCAATTGAGACTGGGCTTGGTGGCACATGCCTGTATTCCCAGCTCTTGGGAGGCTGTAAACCGGTGGATCACTACAAGTCCCATCTAGTAGTGAGACCCTGAACACACCATAGGCCTACAAGAAAACCCAAAAAACAAAAAACAAACCCTTGAGAATTCAGAGCTGAGGAGATTGCTTGGCAGCATAAGTGCCTGCCTGGTAAGCTCAAAAACCCGGGTTCGATCCCTGGTACTGCATGCAGTGCCAGCAGCCGCCAGAACTGGGAGTGGTGGTGCACACCTATAATTCCAGCACTATGGAGGCTGAGACAGGAGGACCATGACGGGTCTGAGCTGCATAGCAAGACCCTACACCAAATAAATTAATAGTAATAATAATAATAATAATAATAATAATAATAATAATAATAATAATAACTGTTGAAGATTCAAACAGCAAAAGGAAGGATGGAAGAAAGGACCTAAGAAGCATTTGGTGCTCTCTGCCATGTACAATCCGCCATCTCATCCATCCATTATGTCCATTATTGTGTTGGTCTTATTTCCTACGAACTTCAGCTGAGAAGACAATATACATATACATTTAGTGACATAGTTTCCCATTTTCTTCACATATTTATAAAATGTAGATGAGTTTTATAAATACATGTATTTATTGGAAAGGTCAGTAAGTTTATTGGAAAGGTCATGATATTAACTATCTCTAAATTGAAAATACTTCTATTCTTTCTATTTATCTTAATTAGACTACAATAAGTGAAATAAATCACTATAAAATTTTCTATAAAATTTATAGAAAATGGAAAGCCAGTAGTAGAGTATCCAGTTATGGAAATTCAAGTCTACGAAATGGATTTTCCAAGATATGTTTTCATATACTGTGCTTTGTTCTCTAAAATATGTATATATACTATACTGACAAAACTATTATAAACTCTGTTCAAGTCCCTTTTAAAAACATTCTGTTTCCTATAGATCATACTTAATTGATTGATCTAATTATCACCTCATCAAATTTACGATCAGTGATTTACTAATTCATGTTTCATGCTTGGATAATGACATTAGCAGTCCTTGGATATGGGCTAATGCAAAAGTTTGCTTGTGTTTCAAATATAGGAAGAACATCCTTCGTTTCTTAGATGCAGAACGTGATGTCTCAGTGGTGAAGAGCAGCTTTAAGCCAGGTGATGTCATACACTACGTGCTGGACAGGCGCCGGACACTAAATATTTCCCATAATCTGCACAGCCTCCTACCTGAAGTTTCACCAATGAAAAATCGTCGGTTTAAGACCTGTGCAGTTGTTGGAAATTCTGGCATTCTGCTAGAGAGTGGATGTGGAAAGGAGATTGACAGTCATAATTTTGTAATAAGGTGAGTGAGCACCTTTTGTTCTTGGAGATTTTATCTTCAAAGATCTCTTATTTAGAAATGGAAAGCTTGGGGGCCGGGGAGATGGCTCAGTGGAATAAGTGCTTCCCTGGCAAGCGCAAGGGTCTGAGTTCAATCCCCGGGTCTGCCAAAAAAAAAAAAAAAAAAAAAAGGAAAGCTGGCAGAAATGCTCAAATTTAAAAATCAACACAAAATTATATTTATTACCCAAACATTTATCTATGATATCATTTTCTGTGTTATGCTCAGACCTACATTTAGCTTGGAATAAAAATATAAAATGACTGGATCATTAGAAGGCTGATTTCACTGTAATGATGATTCTTAGATATGTTGAAGATGGAGGTGCAAATAACAATTTTACTGCATTTAATATTCAAGTAATAATTTTGTACAACCTCATCTTTACATTCATTACTTTGGTATAACTTCATTTGTTTTATAAAGATTGTGGATATTACTTTGCAGTGATGACATGCATGTAAGATAATTTTACTTATTTTATTAATAATTAACATTCTAACCTAGGCAGACTCAGGGGCCAGAGGTTCGATCCCCAGGCCTGCTGTGCCAGTCCCGCTCCTGGAACCCTCTGAGACAGCAGTTGACACTGGGTGTGGTACACATCTGTAATCCCAGCTCTAGGGAGGCTGAAAACAGGAAAATCACTAAGAGTCCAATCCGTATAGTGAAACTCTAGAAACCCTGGAGACCTTGTCCAAAAATAATAATAATAATAATAATAATAATAATAATAACATTCTAAGAAAATATTCTGATAAGTTAACAGATGATATCATCCAAATCTCCTTTATGACTTTATTTATGGTAATTGTCTATATTAATATGTTACTATTTTAGGTTTTTTACACAATTGAACATACCAGTTTCTCATTAATGTTCAGCAGATATTTGATGAATTAGGTGTTTGTTAATGTTTTATTTACTGAAATAAACTTAACAGTGAAAATGGAATTGTGATCACATTACAAATATTAGCAGTTTTTAAAATTCCAATTCTTATGTCTGTATTTCTGTCAGTATTAGAAGCATTTGCTGAATGAGAGAAACATATATATTGAAATATGAAAATAAGTACAATACAAAGATAATAAAGTATGTGAATTTTCATATAAATTCTTGAAGACCCTTGAAGGTGGGCTGCAAAACAGCCTGTGAATGTACAGATCTCAGTAAAATCTTGTGAAATGAAGTCTTAAGATAAAGTAAATTGATTATGTACAGCAGTACATCTGCACACAAATGCTTTTGTTTTCAAGCAGTTTGGTTCCCAAACAGAAGTGTTCAGCAAAATTTTGATTTTGTTTATAAACTGTGCATCAGGTGACAAAGAGGCACAACCATATTTCCCACACATCGAAGTGGCGATCTTTTCCAAAGACTTTTGGAAGAAATTAAGATTTGAACTGAGGTACCATTGGTGTATATAATTAGTCATAATCAGAGTAGCATTTTTTTTCAAAAATAATAGTATCTGTGAAAAAGCAGGTGGATACGACTCATATTCATAATGATAACTGTAAGCATTTTACCTTATTATCTTGCCTTTTCTGAGCTGGCTGTAGGGTCAGATGTTAATTTGAAATTAGTTGAGCTTTTGCAATCCTACATTTAGAAAATTGATGGGATTGGGAAAACAAAATAAAACCGTGGACTAACTTGTAGACATAAAAATGAAATATTAGGGCCAGGGCTCTAGTTCAACTGTGTAAGCGGCTGCCTGGCAAGTGCAAGGTCTGGAATTCAATCCTTGGTAACAAAATAAAAAAGATAAAATAAAAATAATATTATATACACAGAAGAGGAGAGAAGTATTTGTTGGTGGAATAACATGGAAATAATATACTTCAAACGTTGATGTCTGTGAAGTATAGCCATGAAGAAAGTGTAAGGCTTCTAGAATTTCTGAAGTGTCTAGAATCACTAGTCAGGTAAGATAAAGAAATAAACTTTTATGGCATAATGGGAATTTTTGCAGCATGTAGAGTATTTTAAAAGACAATTAAGGACTAGGGAGGTAGCTCAATGGCATAACTGCCTTCCTTGCAAGCACAAGGACTCTGGTTTGATTCTGGGTACTTCATGCCCTGCAGGTGTACCAAATAAATAAATAAATCAATTAAATATTTTATTTTAATGTATTTAGGACAGGGTCTTCAGGATCTCAGGATCTCACTACTAGATCGGACTCATAGTGATTCTCCTGTGCTCAGCTCCCAAGCACTGGGATTATAGGCGCGCCACCATGCCCAGTCTCAGTCGCCATCTCAGGGGCTGGTGCGGCATGCTGGGGATCAAACCCCAGGCCTTGTGCTCTGCCTAAGTAGGTGCGTTAGTCCGCTCAGCTATCTAGCCAGACTTGAATATTTTTTTTTTAAAGGTAATTAATACTAGGGAACAGTGATCTGTCCATGCGAAGTTTTGTTTCCGTAACCCTCTAAGCTTTGGTCCTGGGACTTACTGAAATTGCTAGGTTTAACCCCACCTCTGGCTTCACAGTGCAGATTGCTTTTACGTGTGAGCAACGAGAGAGACCTGATAATGCTATTTCTCTAGTATAATATCCATTTATTGATACCACTTTCTGCTCTGTATCTATGGCCTGATTTTTATAGACAAATCCCTTGAAATATTTCCATTTTAAATTACCAAGTTATCTCACAAAGCATTGTGTCTCTGGTGAGAACAGTTCTACCATCTTTCTGTCCTAACACTGAAGGGTGATCGTCCTGCCTTTGTACCAGTCTCTAGTCTTCATCTGTCTTCCATTCATTTCATAGAAACTTACATCCTATACTGTATCTCACTCTTTTATTAGTCAGAATTCAGGTTTCCAAACTCCTGGGCTCTCTTCCACCTGTGTACAAAATTCTGATTCCATGGATTCCTACTCTCTCTTTTATTCTAAAATTAATACCTGTTTTCTGTTTCACTTGCCAAGCAGGATCAGCGGGCCAGCTGGTAGCATTGCCCTGGCAGTTCTACTGTGGGAGACTGGGCATTTAAGCCACTTTTAACCCTCTGACTTGGGGTCTCCTACAGCAAAATATCAAGGCTACAGCAACTTGACTAACGCACACGTTTTTTCCCTTTCTATGACTCACGTACCTAATTTTGTCTGTGCACTTTTTAGGCTTAAAAAACTGTTTATTACACTTCAGATTAATAAAGTCTGACACTAACCTTAAAATACTCTGTGGTTGTTTCAACAAATGCAACTCCCATAAGTTTCAAACAGTTTGCTTTCATATTCTGTGATTCCTGTTTAGTTAATCTGTCTTACTGGTAACTGGAGGTTGCATTTGAGGTACTATTGTTGGTTCCTGAGCCCTTATTTTCCATCCACTCAGGACAAGTGCTTCAGGACATGGGGAAGAAGGTCTTTCCCACTTCCCGTCTGACGACACTATTGCATCCACAGCTACTATTCAACTTCAGACTTCTCATGGAGGATGAGTGCTTTACTTGTTTTCACACTGGTTTTTTTTTTTAATTTTACGGAAGGGTCTACAGGCTGTTCAGGGTCTCACTACTAGATCAGACTCGTAGTGATCTGCCTGTTGACAGCCTCCCAAGAGCTGGGATTATAGGTGTGCACCACCACACCCAGTCTCAGCACACCCCAGGGGTGGGGCCGGCATGGCTGGCCAAGGGCTTAAACCCCGGGCTCCTGTGTCTGCTTGCAGGTGCTTTAATCTGCTGAGCATTTTGGCCGGCCCTTAGTTTCATACTTTGTGAGTGTACTGTCTGTGCGTGCTCCTGATTCCCACTCACCCAGGTTCAAGGTGCGTTACAGATGATCTCTGATTTTACTAATCAAGGCTCTACTCTAAGATAAAGTATTCTTAAACAGTAATTAGGTTTTTACTTGACCTCTTTTGGGGAAATGATTTAATGAAATCTGTAGGTATGTACCAGAAGGCATAACTGCATGCAAATGAAAATGTCTTCCTCCAGATAGCTTTTATTTAGCAGCAGCAGCAAGGGTCACATAAATGGGATTATTGTCATTCGATATGTGCATTTGGAGACTTTTTCTGATATCCTGTACAGAAAACTTTATGATCAGTCTGTGAAAAGCAGCAGTGTGCATTTATATGGGCGAACCAACACATTGCAATGCATTTCCTTTCCTAAAAATAGCACTGACTCAGTGAATGATTGTATCACTAATCAATTATATTAAATGCTGGGCTCAGGGGGTATTAAAAGGGAATCCTGATTATGTCATCATGTCAGGCTCAGGGTAAAATAACAAAACAAAACCTAAGACAGGCAAATAAATTAAAGCCTGACTTTGATTCTGTAATGTGTATCTAAAGATTAAGCTGATTTCTTAGATCTATGTCTCAGATATACAAACATTTTAGCAACAAAACAAAAATAGGAGAACATTTTATTACTTATTAAAAATTTCCAAAACCACAATTCTGAAACCATTGCTGAGAACATGTGAGCATTTATTTTGTATGTGAACAAACCTCAAGACAACTTGTATTGTAGTTGGTTTTGCAATTAGACAGAAGTCCTGTTGCATGGCATATCTCATGTAAGGTTGCAAAATAAAGCAGATAACAGGCTCTAGTTGAAAATGACTTATTTACTGAACTGTAGTAAGGCTCGTTTACTCTGTGATGAAGTTCTCACAAAGTTTCAGACTGTGTTACAACACTCTCAAAGAGCAAAACTTTTACTAATATAATCTAGGAGTGATGTCAGTGATTTTCCATCTTTCATATGCTTGGGAAGAAAAGCAAATAGAAGCAGAAGTGATAATGACATTTTAGTCATGTCAGTTTCAGTTTTTCAAAGACTGATGGAAATTTTGAATGCCCCAAATGCACTTCTTGAAACCATAGAGTAATCCAAGTTGATCTATGTGAGTCCTCACACAGGGCAGATGTAGACCACTTGCTATACAAAAGAACTCAAACCACACACAAATTTATCAACAAAATTAT